AGTTTTCACTCATCTGCTCACATTTCATACCCTAACTTAAACTAACCCAGGAGGCTTGCTATTGTCAATTAACAGATTCATTGGGATTTGCATTATTTCCTATGGGGACTATTGCTTCGGGTTTCACGCAATTCAGTTAAGTCAGACTTTTTTTTTTTTTTTCCCATCACAAAAGACAAGTTTCCACTGTATAGTGTTATTTAATTTAAAGTTACTGTAAATACAATTGAAGTAGTCAAACTACTTGCTCTTTTGACAGAAACAAAGCATGCTTTTTTTTCTGAAAATCTTTAAATTGACATTTTGGTGGGTGTAACCCAAGCCAAAAAGAGTTGAATGTGAATAATATCGCCATTGAATAAGTCATGATGTGACACTTATTCGCCATTAAAGCATTAATACCAGCATAATTCTTCCTGGCACAAGAATGCTAATATTTGAATAATTTAACAAAAGACTCATTCCTATTAAACACCACTTAAGCGCAACGTCGGCCATTCATATTTATAACAAACATAAATTAGTAAAAATGCTTTCAGGTGTTCCCGTCAATTGTTGTGCCACAGGAACACGGGGCGGCTGACAACGTGGATTAGCGGCAAGATTCCCAACTTCGGTCTACGAATGTGACTGGCGAGGTGGCCGTTAATGCTAGCGCGTTTGTTTGGTGGACCGTGATGTCGGAGCACCATCTGCTGCTAAGACGATGGAACAAAAAAAAAAAGAAATACTGTATGTATGACGTTGACAATTAAAATTATTTGACAAGTACGGTCATATTTTCAAAAGCGCCTGACGACACATGGTCACTTTAAAAAGCCTGACTGGACATGATCACCTTTTAAAAAAAAGCGCTCGACTATACATGGTCGTGTTTAAGAAAAAGCCTTCCTATACGTGGTCTTTAAAAGATAAAATTTTAAAAACGCTTTACTATACAAGTTAAAAAAAAGCCTTACTATACACTATACATATATGGTCATCTTTCAAAACGATAAAAAAACGCCTTCATATACATGGTATATAACTTCTGTATTCTTCTCTTATCCGCAAACTTATTTGCAAATTTTAAACAAAGTTATAGTTGCGCATTACACTGTTCATCCAGCCGCAACTGATCTTTTTAGAATATCGATTCAAGACGCAATTCTTTCCTCGATCTCGGCCAACAGACAGAAGATCAATTTAGAGGATAATTGTCCCCTTACCATGTCAATCTTTCGGGCGCCCGATGTTCTGTGTGTTGACCGAAACCTCAGTCCGAAATCACGTCGGGGTCACCAATTGTCGGGGGGCAAAGTGGCCATCTTTCCCCCGCGTGTTCGTTAATTTCGGATGGTGAGGATGTTGCTTATCCAACTACAGGCTGGAGACGATGAACAGTACCTTCGAGGATTTTATTTGCAGAATATTCCGGGCACCAATGACGTGCAGACAATGGCTGCTGCATCACGAGTGCAAAGAAGGAAAGGATGCACAACAAATTTATATCTGAAGGGAAGTACCGAAACTCATGGTGTGACGTCAGAACTTTCGTTTCTCCTAAACCGTTTCTTAGCTTGTATCAACTGGCATATTACATATTCTCTACGCGGTCTTCACTAGGGAATGTTCCAATTTTAAGTTATAATTGCGAACCAAAATAAAAATGATTAGCTTCAACTTGGAAACCCTATTTTAAAATATCTTTGAACAAACTCCCCGCATGCACTGAAATGTGAGGATGAACGATTCAAATGTGTTCCAATACGACCATGCACAAGTACTACAGGCTGAAAACAACTCAATGCAATAAATAGGATGAGTTATGGAAGACAAGATCCAGCTGCATTCATGTCACGATGCGCGTTGATAGTGCAGGCCATGTTGCCACATGATTGTTTCAAATTTCTCGGGAGACAAAGAGAAACCTTGAAAAACAGTGACGGGAGAAGAAAAAAAAAAGCAAAAGCACACTTACTTGCTTTGATGAATCCATTATAAGTGTTCTTAGCTGAGAACAAACAGAAAAAGGTGTTACATGGTTGATAGCAAATGGAGAATGACGAATGATTTTCATCAACAACAAAAAACAAGGGGATGCATCATAAAATATTTGGCTGTCATTTTGTAATTCAGCAGAACGATACGGCTAAACTGCTAGCAAATAAGACGGTAAAATAAAATTAAGACGGTTATGTTGAACCCCCCCACTCCGAGCGTAACATAAGGCGCCAAGGTTGTATGTGTCGCTGCTCCGTGCGTGTGACGGAACCATTGCCTGGGGGCGAGAATTACTGTAACATTGATGCAAAAATTTTAAAAATTCCTCAAATCGCCTCAGCCTGGGCAAATGGCATAAACGTTGTCATTTACAAGTGGTGCCATCCCAGTTTCTGCCACCCGGAAGTGGGTGGGATGTCACAGCGGAAAGTTCCATAAAAGGTCGGGCTGGGTGGGCCCCCCCGAGGCGGCGCGCTGACAGCAACGTTCAAACGGCGGCCCGGCCCGTCCTGACATGTGTCGCCCGCAATCGGAGGGTCGCGCCACTAACAGGCGAGCATCTGTCCCGCTGCCTGCTGGTGAGGAACTGTCACGCCGACTTTGGTGACGACCGGTCGCGCTCCCCCACCCACAAAAGAAAAAAAATGAAAATGCAAACATAATTTCCACGTCAGGCCATGTAAGGCTCTGCCGCCACACGGCCGGGCCAGACTAGCAGCGAAACACAAAAGTGCACGGACTCATCAGGAGGCTTTTGGGCTAAAAACGGATGACAGTCGACAAGGTTTTGCAGCAAATTGTACGCACGCACACATTGCGGATGCCCTGTGCAATACGTCAGCATAATCGAACAAGTCCTCTGGCCTTGAAGATACAAGCACGATTTCATTCCACTCAAATCCTCTTTATGATACGTCTTAATTTGTATAGCGCTTTCATAAAACCTGCTAGTATTTGACTTATTGTGTGGCACTCATATCCGTTCAAAATCTCTGCAGGACACTAAATTATTAAAACAACAAACACGTAAAAGGATCACGTCGTAAAAGATGATTAAAATTACTCATCAGAAAGCTAACACTTTTGACCATTTTCCTCACATAGACCTAAAACGGTGCGAATGAAGTTATTAAAACTGGATGCGAGTTATTAATAGAATAGACACGTGGTACCATTTTTAAGTTAAGTTCATACAGTAAAATAAATAAGTGACATTTATTATATTATATTAGCTGCTTTTGTGGAAGGGCTGTAGCGCCCTCTGCTGGTGATTTGGTGAAGCGGTCCAAAATATCCAATTTGGCTGCATACACTATGGCATGATTTTGTCACTTACTTCAAAACCTTTTTTTTTCAGGAAATCAGATGCCAATGATCTTTGCACTTTATTCCTTATCCACACTGATGAATCGACTGCTGGGAAATACATTTTTGACCAATCTGTTCTGTTAACCTTAGTGGACAAAAAGCATTGGGACACCAGTCGCCATTCCACAACTTACATTTCTTACATCCGCATTTCTTTATGCGCTTGGGATCGGTGACGTCATCATGGCACGCTTTGCAGTAGAACAACGCCCTGTCGATGTAAACAAAACAATTGCAGGTAATCCAAAAATAAAACTTAAAAAATAGTGTAGACAGAGGAACCATTTGTCAGTCACCTCTTGACTTCTTTGGCGTCGCTGGCAATGAAGAAACCCAACATCCCCTCCTGCATCTTCACGTGGTTGCCAGGGTTGATGAGCGTGCTTGATCAACCAGATCAATCAAAACCATTCGGAGTTTAGAATTTTTTTTTTAAAAATCTGAAATTCTTGAACATCAATGGATTAGGTTACCTGCTCTCCCTCTGATCAGACTTGTACTCGATGGCTATCAGCAGCAGCTTCAGCTTCACGTAACACAATCTGAGAGAAAAAAAAAGGAAGAATGTACTCTCGAGATTTTAATCAATTAACGCGGATTAATTTGTCAGGACTGCATACTCACTCGCAGATGACAGGAAAGGACAGGCCCACAAAGGCACTTGACAGGTACTCTGTGTACATCTCGTTGGCGACGCCCTCCAGGTAATACTTCTGCCACGTGTCCTCCTCGATCTGCGGGCGACGCCACCATCATCAAAATGCGCTTTGGAGAGGTTGGCCGCCGCCCGCGACGATGGAAGTACCTTGATGAAGGACCTCATGGAGAAGAGGTTGGCCAGCATGGTGGACAGGCCTTGAGCCAGGCAGCTCTGAGCGATGAAGCCCAGCTTCAGCTCAGCCAGGCAGATGGCGTCGTCGCCTTCCTTCCAGTTCCAGCTGGGGATGTTCAACAGGTGCGCCTGTAGGTGACCGCGCAAACATCAAAGTCATCTCAAAATGTAGCTGCCATGAACGAGGGGTGTTCCACAAGGCTCAATACTGGGTCCGACACTACACTTTTTTGTTCATATACAGTATAATATTGTATACTCCATAAGAGACCACAATGATCAGACTTATTTTCAAGTGATTGAAATGAGTAAAACTGCTTTCATTTTTTTCTGGGATACTTAACACAATTATTACCATGGACGGTTTCAATAGGATTAAGAACCATTTTGCTTTTGATTTTTTTTTGAACATTTGCCAATGATTTAAATTAAGATTTGAAATGAAAACTTGTTTTTTTAAATGTTGACATTGCCTACCTTGTTGTGATACTGCAACATCTGAGTAATGATGCGGATCTTTGGGTGGTAGTTCTTGATGGAAATTACTCTATATATAACATGGCAAAAACAACATCAAAATGTGCACATTTGATTGTCACGCTCAATAGTGAAATGTTGGCGGCGCGGTTTTGCATTTTAATGTTGGCGGCAGTAAGCTCTTAAGACACCCGGGAACTCAAATTGTGGCGAAAAACAATTGCAATGTCACCTTTCACTTTTATCATGGCAAACAGATAAGTGGGATATTTCCATCGTTTCCTGGAAAATCGGTTTCAAAATGGCGTTTTGTGATATTTTATCACAACAGTAATATTGTAGCTGTGTGACATGACGAAAACAAAGGTTGGCAGTGGTTCACCTCATGATGTTGGAGGCATCTTCAGCATCAGGATCGGCGCAGTATTTGTTAGCGAGGATCAAACAGGCGTCGGCTGATTCAATCTGAGGGGCAAAAAAAATAAATTAAGTTATATATATGACAAATACAGCGGTGAAAATGTGCTGGCCACCCGTTTACTTTGACTCTGGCCAGATCGTGAGGGTTGAGGACGGAGCCCTGGTAGAACTCCACCTGGGTGAAGTGGCGTTTGAACAAGGCTTCCAGCTCAAGATTAGGAGAAATACTGACAAACACAAAAAGGGCCTCATGTTTTACTTTCAAAATAGTCTTAGTGCATCCAGAAAGTATTCACAATGCTTCACAACCTTCAAAATTAATTTGAGTCCATGTTCTAAAGTGTGCGACGTGTTCTCAAGCAGCCCCCAAAACAGACAAATCAGTCACGTAAGAAAATGTGGAAAAAGTGAAGCGCTGCGGATACTTCCCAAATCCACTCCAAGACCTCAAGATGAGTATGATTCCGTCTTGTTACTCACTTATGGAGAAAAACGATTTCTACATTGACATCATCCCTGTCCTTGTGTAGGAAGTCTTTCAGGAAGTTGGAGACGCTCTCCAGAGTGATGTGGCCGCACACCACAATGTGCCTGACGGGAAGGCCACAGACATTTTAGTCACGTTTCCAGCGGGACGCGTGGAGATGAGAGCATCATGTGATGCAACAGACATGAGAAGCAAGCAGCTTTCAGGTGATCGGTCCGGAAGGACGAATGAACACGGAATGACCTGGAGAGAGCGAGCGGGCGAGCATTGGTGGATTATGAGGGATCAGAGTTGATTTCAAAGGAGATTATGACATCCACACATTTTCGATTTTCATTTGTCCAAGAAACAATTTATGTTTAATACGAGCTTAAATTTTTACATGCAGCTCTACATTCGAGAAAATTGCTTAAAAACAAAGCACTTGAATTCCTGAATAGTTGACCTGGTAGATGAGGGGCAACTATATCGTCATACTCCTATTCTTTTTGTTTTCTTGTTCGCTATTATTGTAGAACATAATTTAGCTTCCGAAAGGCATATTTGGATGTGTTGAATTATTTTATGTAATTTTATATTTAATTTTAGTCTTTTAGAGGCCCTTTTTCTTATATTAGTAAACAGTTAACTTGATATTTTATCATTTAATTTTTTTTTATTTGGATTTGTTGATTATTTCATTTAAGTATCTGATATGGTGAATGTTGAAAAACATTTCATTTTTGGTTACTTGAGTAAAATATCATTTTGTAAATCTATCTAAATTAATCAATGCAGAATATACAAAATAAATGTAAAATTTACAATTTCATGTCAGTTCTTGTGTTTTACCATGAGATTTACCTTTAAGTTGTCTTTAAGTACTTTCCAAATATATTTTGCCTCTGGCGCTCAAAGTTTTAAGCGATACCAAAAGACTACATTTTAGTTTTGTTTTTTTAAAGAACTTGTGTTAAAAATGATTTATATCATATTTTTATCTCACCGTGACTGTAAAAGAAAAAAATGGCAGCAAAAGCAGAGGAAGGGAAATCGAAACATGATCCAAATTCAATCCAGGCTAGTGTCCACATTAAACTAAAGTGAAGCAGTTTCATGTCAAGATTCAATGCAGGGAATGAATTACTTCATACATACCATTCTTTAACATTTTCCAAATCCTTTGGACCAAGTGGACATAAAATGTTTGCTTATCTCTTTGCAGGTTTATAAAAAAAAAAAAAAAAAAAAAAAAAAAACTAAGGCAAACATGCTAATAATAAATTGCCACGCTTCCCATAATTGAAGATTGCTTATAAAGCCATATTTTTTCTTTGGAGGCATTTGTGTCACTTTGGAAAAGGTGTTTAATCAGCTTCTTGCCAAGAGACGGATGAAAAAACGCAATTTGTACTCTGTACTTTGACTCTAACTTGCTGAGCAACTACAAAGTACAGTAGCGAGCATTCACTTCCAACTGCTACTTGTTAGGTAGGGTAGTAATTCTCAAAATTTGCCACCCAGTAGCACCTAAATAAGCAATAAATACTGTATTTATAGCTCTCACATTGTCACTATCATGACCAACTTTGAAATGCACAAAGTAGTAGGACAGACTGTGAATCATTTACAATGTATCACTCTTAATGATCTGCAAAAAAAACATGGATTACTCTCTCATCTGTTAACACATGGATGATTATTATCAATGTTTTATAGAATAGGAAAAATTATTCCATGTTTTGCACGAGTCATACTGTCAGTAGTTTTTAGTATTGTATGTATGACCATGTTTATGCTAATTTACCTTTTATGCTGATTTGAGACTCCCGTAAGCTTATTACCAGTAGAAAAAAGTTACGTGTTTTTTGTGTCTGTGTGCTAGCAAGCATGGCTTCAGCTAGCAGGACAACACAAAAAAAAAAAGTTCAGTGCACTAGTCTTTTCATCTCACTACCTCGGCAAGAAAACAAAGGAAACACATTTTGTCAAAATGTCACCAACGTATGCAGCTAAGTCCTGAGGGTGTAGGTCAGACTGAAGATAAAGGCCAAGAATGTTCCAGAAGCAAAGCGTCAAATAAAAGAAGAAAAACAAGAAAGCACAGCCAAAGCCAATTAACATCGTTTTTTTCCCAGCGCTGGAAAAAAAAACACGAGCAAGATACAGCACAAAGTAACATGCTTGTTTTCATATGAATTTAAATACATTTTGTATATTTTAGTCAGCATTTGATAAAACTGAGATATTACTATTATTACGCGTTCACACGTTTGGGTACCGGGTACTCTTATTATTTCAGCTCCTTTAAATGAATGTACTGTAAAAGGTATGGCTGGATTAAAGGATACGTGTGAGTGAAAGCAAACACTGAAGACATATGCGTGCACAAACAAACAAATGCACTGACAATATGCAGCGTTTTATGACATGGAAACGTCACAAATACGGAGTGCCATGGAACAAGTACTGTGAAACAGACAAAATCAAATGCACGCAAACCATCATCAAAAGCTAAAATGAAGTTGCAACCTTATAGAGTGAAAATATTACAAAGCCAAAATTGTACTTTATACGGTTATGTGAATAAAGTTTGCAAGAATAAACTGTAAATATTGTGAAAAAAGATAAAACCTTTGTCTCACAATGGAGAAATTCGAATGGAGAAAAAATGTACCGTATTTTCCGCACGAAAAGGCGCACTGGATTATGAAGCGCACCTTCAATGAATGGCCTATTTTGTAATTTTCATATATTGGATTATAAAACGCAATCTACAATGCATCCACTAAATGGAGCTCCACTCCTTCTGTTCGACTTGAGAGGCGTTCGTGACTGCCTCCGAAAAACGTCAACGATTACTTCAATGAAACTACAAAAATTGAAAATAATGCATCAAAACAGAAAATCAAGCGAGGAAATGACTTAATAAAATCTGTAGCCCCCCTACAGAATTTATTTTGGCATTTCCTTGAGCATAGCTCCAATAGAACGATCAGATGTCAGTAAAATGTGTGAGACGGGACTGTCTTAGAAGTGTTTATTTATTCCTTTGTTGTGTACTGTATTGACAAACGAGGAAAATCACAAAATAAATTCTGTAGGGGGGCTATAGAATTTATTTTGTGATTTCTGTTTTGATGCATTATTTTCAATGTTCGTAGTTTCATTGAAGGAATCGTTAATTTACGTTTTTCGGGGGCGGTCATGAACGCCTATCGAGTCGAACGGAAGAAGAGAAGGCACGGAGACGGACAAAGACGTACCTGTATTTGTTGAGACTGAAAACCATTAAAGTGTGCGTTCTAAAAAAAAAAAAAAAAAAAAAAACTACACAATGCGCGCCGTGAGCTTTTAAGAAAATGGAAGACTTTTCGGTGCGCCTTATAGTGCGGAAAATACGGTAATCTTAGGAGGTGAAGGTTCTATGATGAAAAATTGCAATGCTATGTATAGATAATAAAGACAAACGTGACTACACGAGACAACGTGTTGACTGGTCGAGATGGCGACTAGTTGGCTCAACACCTGACAGGCAGCCACATTGTTTTTAAACGGCAACACAAGAACGATACCTAGCGGGCGGACACGAAGCAGCAGCAGCGACGACGACAACACAAGCAAACAAGACGAACGAACCATGGCCCAGTTCTTCAGTCACGGTGTGACTTGAACGCGGAGATGTTTACATCTCACATTTCTCACCAGGAGAAAAGACAAGAAAAAGTCACACACAAAAACCACACCAGTGAACATGATTGGACTTACTTTCTGCCTCTGGTCGAGTTATAACTCCCTCCATATTTCTTCCGATTAAGGATGAGAGCGGCAATTTCTGGCACGTAGCGAGCAAACATGGCCTACATGCGTGGAAAAGAAAAAGCAAAAACAAAAAAAAAGGGGGGGGCATGCAAGAGAAGCCTTTACTGCGGCCTCCCGGGTAATACTTACTTTCTGCCATTAACAGCACTATAGGAACCACCGTATTTCTTGCGGTTGCCTATTAACTCTATGATTTCAGGCACGTAGCTCGCAAACATGGCCTAAGGAGCACATAGGAGACAGAAAAGGCGAGCAGAGAAATCAAGTGCAGGCCCACTACCTTGAAGATTTCATCCAAGTGCAGGAAAATGATTTTTTTTTTTCTGGGAGGGCGGGGGCATTCCATGGTTAAGAATGACTAAAAATGGTGTCAATGTAGCTTGAAATTAAATCAGTTACATTGCAAAAAATATGTATGTTACAGTGGTATCTTGACTTTGAAGTGAATTTTTTGTATTATAAGCCATGACGTGTTGGGAGGTGGTAATGGAAAGAATCAAACTCAAGTACCACTGTGTTTAGAACAAAATATGTATATCAAGGATGTTATAAAGAATGGCAGCCAATTCATCCGAGTTAGGAAAATGAATTTTACAAAATGACTATAGAGAGGAATCCTTAAGTGCCATGTTTTGATCAACAAACACACCACACAACGATTTTCACCGATGCCCTCAACTGAAGACGTCACATTTGCTTTGTCTATCAATATTTATAGAAACCACAACATCGTAGTTTGGTGCTTACGCTGAATACTGGACCAATTCAAGAATAAAGTCAGACAATAAAAAAAATAAAGTCATAAATTAGTATTTTAAAAAGTAAAAATATAAATATTTTGCGAGAATTGTTTTTATTTAAAAAAAGAACATTCATCATTTTACATGAATGACACGAATGGCTATTTTTAATATTTGACTAAAATTGTATTAAAATATGCAACTTTACACAGAAAATACATTTTTAAAAATTGTTAGAGGACTCCTATGATTTCCATTTCAGAAAAGGGTCATACAAAGTTTAATTCAATTATTTTACAAGACTTTTTTTAGGAAATAATTTTTACAAGAGCAAAGTTGCTATATTAGGAGTTATTTTTGTCACAAATATGACGTATATAATTTCAGAAAAAAATAATTGAAGACTTATTTTTTTTTAGAGGGTGTGGCGGCGGGTAAATGACGCATTCATTAGAGGGCCTCAGAGCAAATTGTTGTAGTGTCAGTGTTTGTTGTGGTCGAGAGGGGAGTTAGGCGGTTGGAAGGTCAAGAGGTCAGGAGGTTGGCCAGAGGGGCACAAAGGGGCAGAGCTACCTGAAACCGCAATGCTGAAAACAACTCACAAGAAATAATCAACCGTCAGTCACTAACACATGGCAATTGTGCGAATGCTGAGACACGACGTCGCCAAATCGACAATATTCCGAAAAAAATGTTCACATCGTAACTATGAGAAGACATTTTGTTTAGTGATGCGGATGAAGTCGCAACATCAACGTGGACATTTTCTCTGTAGAACAGTCATGAAATTACAAATTATAAAAAAAGTAAATTAAAAAAAAGATGCATTTCACGGGAATAAAGTTATGACAAGAAAATGTGTTTTTGTTTTTTAGTCCGTGAATGAGTGACGTTTTATGGCCAACGTTTCCAAGTCAATACTTTTTTCGGGTCAAAAAAATCAAATAAGGGGCATGGCTGTCGTGAAAGAGTTGATGTTACAATTTTTTTTTTGTCAAAACGTTAGGAAGTCTAACACTCTTCTCTGAGCATGAGCACAATCAAAACATGACATGCAACAACACTGTGGTATCCTCATTTTTTTTGAACGAAGGAGAGGCTTTTCTTTACCAGACCACCAAGGATGAAGAAGACCATAAAGAGTCGGCCCAGGGTGGTTTTGGCGTAAACGTCGCCGTAGCCCACCGTGGACATGGTGACCATCAGCAGGTACACACATTCCCAGTAGGAAAGCGCCTGAGAATTCTCGAAGTTCTCCCAAGGATCCCCGGAATTTTCCACCTGCAAAAAAACACGTGGAAAATGGAGTCACACTGCAAAGCACAAGTTTTGATATGGGGGAAGCTTTACACTTCAACGTGCGGTGATGCGATTTACCAAATGGATGAATCCGGCCGCCGTGAGCCATGTGCTGATGAAGATGGAACACAAGTTGACCAGCTTGATGGAGTTGCTGGTTCAAACAAAGGTTCGCGTTATCAACCAGTCAGCTTGGCTGTCCAATTACTTACAGTCAATGATGATGAGTCGGTTATTTTAAAACTTCACACATGCCAAAGAAAAAGTGTGGAAAAAAAAACGGGATTAAAAGGTCTTACCTTGTCTTGAGTATATTCAAAAATTGTAAAATCTCAGAGAACTGTATCAACCTTAGGGCCCTTAAGAACCTCAAGCCTGCCGGAAAAAAAAAGAAAAGCATAAAAACAAACAAAATAAGACCGTGCGTGTTAAAAAGGAACATGGGTGACAAAAAGAAATGACCTTTCACAAAATCGCACAGCGGCTTCAGCGGATTCATTTCGACACTCAACAAGCACTCGCGGTTACTTTCAACAACTACCAACAAAAGGTCCCGCTGCCGCATGCAACTTGTGTTCAGTCCCCCCCGAGTGAAATCGGATGCTGAATGAAGACCGTCAAAGCACACCAGCGGGTGGACGTGTCACCATCACACCAAAATGAACCTATACGGTTACTGTACTTTCAACAACTACCAACAAAAGGTCCCGCTGCCGCATGCAACTTGTGTTCAGTCCCCCCGAGCGAAAGCTGAATGAAGACCGTCAAAGCACACCAGCAGGTGGACGTGTCACCATCACACCAAAATGAACCTATCACAAGCCGCGACGGAAAATCCCAGCAAACACATCAGCATGTCTGTAAGAATTTGATACAGTAATTCTCTGAAAAGACTCAAAAATCGATGTCAAAATCTGAAGAAATAAAATGAAGACCATTTGATTCAGAAAGTTTCCACAGAGCTTCACTTTCCCCATATTTTATACTGTGTTGAGGAACGTTAAATTGGAGTGAATCCCTTTTTTTGCTCCAAACGGGGAAAGGAGAGGATAGAAGTATTTGCACTTGGCGTCACTGAGAGCGGTCACGCGTCTTACCCCAGTAGGAGACGGCACGGAAGCCGGAAGCCAAGTGCGAGCCGCCGGCGAACTCCTGCTCGTCTTTGTCGTGGCCGTTGCGGACCCCGGCT